GGGGGGGGGCTGCGCCCACGCAGCAAGAATAAAGAATTTGTTTTGATGCTACATGGGAACCTTCGTTGTCTTCGGCAGGAGCCTTTAAAAAGAAAGGTAGCGGTTACGCTACCTGAGTTTCCCATTTTGCTTTAGCAAAAGTGAATTATAGCCAGAGTGGAGGCGTATCTCATTGAGAATTGCCTCCGACATTTCATTTTAGAGGCCGGCCCCCCCCCCTTCTCAACTCCACCCTGGCGCGGCTCTTTGTCAATGGCTAGAAAACGCTGTAAGTACAAGTGTTTTCAGCTCCTCCAGTCTGCAAGAGTGGCCTCAAACCACGCAATTTACATGGTTTTCTGTGGCTGTCCGGCCAAAGAACCTCGTAAAAACCTATGTTTTTTGAAGTGTCTAGGCTTCCAAAATGGTCGAAAAATGACCAAGCACATGGAAATATTTTGTCGGAAAGGGTTTTTTTGGCTTTTGGAGGCTTCACAATGGCTCCAAACGATGGGACTTACACGGGTTTGTGCACCTTCCCTATCCGCGGCAGCCCACATCCTGCGAGTGACTAAGAAGATGATTGCCGAGAAGGGGGAGGAGAAGCAATCATGGGAAATCGCTTTTGGAGCCCCTTGGACTACGGAGACCTTCATCCAAGAAGCGACCAACAGAGGGCATCCAACTAGCCTTTTCGAGGGGTTAGCACCAATGGTCGTGGATGCGATACACAGCAGCCCGACTAGAGATCCCGCAGCAATTGCACGGAAAAGAGCCTCGTTCCTCAAGAAGTGGACTACCAGACCAGCCCAATTGACCAAAGATGAAGAAGAGCTGCATTCCAGTCTACCCAAGCACAGGAGGCTCATCTTGAGAGGGAAAAGAATCCTCGTCCTCAAGGAGATGCTGGCAGAGTTGCAATACCCTGACCTGTCTGTTGCTGACGACATTCTCAATGGCTTCGATTTAGTTGGCACAGCTGGAGCAGAGGGAGTTCTCCCTGCGGATTTCCAACCGGCTACATTGACGGTGCAAGATCTGGAAGAACAAGCCAACAAAAGCAACAAAGCCATCATGAACTCATGCAAGTCAAGTGGTTCGCCTCTTGTTGATGCGGAGCTGTGGCAGAAGACTCTTGAGGAGGAGGACAAGGGGTGGCTGCAAAGCCTTGAGCGTGTGCCCTTGGACGGCGGGAGAGTCTCGAGACGATTTGCGGTCGTGCAATCCGAGAAGGTGAGGCCTATAGACAACTACAGTGAGTCCCAGATCAACAGTGCTGTCACCATCACCAACAAGTGCACAGTGGATGGAGTTGACACCAAACCAGCCAAGACCTGTGAATTCATGAAGGCCCTCAGATCCAGGTCCAAGTGCTCCACCCTGGTTGGGAGAAGCTTTGATTTGAAGAGCGCATATAGACAGCTGGCAGTGTCAGACAGTGATTTGAAATGGGCGAGGCTGGCAGTGTATTGCCCCGAGGAGAAAGCGACCAAGTGTTTCCAGCAATACAGCCTGCCGTTCGGGGCGAAGAGCAGCGTGGTTGCCTTGCTTAGATGTGCTCGCATGTTGCAGTGGATATGCCTGAAACTAGACTTGGTGACTTCGTGCTACTTCGACGATTTTATCTGTCTATCCACCCCAGCCTTGAGCAGAAGCAGTGAGCTGACGTTTGAAACTCTGCTTGACTTGTTGGGTTGGAAGTTCGACGAGACAGGAGAGAAGTCATCGGCGATGGGAGCTAGCATCTCAGCTCTTGGAGTCATTGTGGACCTTGAGAAGTCGTCTGAAGGCGTTGTTCAAGTCCAGAATACCGAGAAGATGCTTGTGCCCAAATTGCCAAGTGTTTCGACGAAGGCGTACTCACCAGCCACAGTGCTGCATCCCTGAAAGGGAGATTAGGCTTTGCCGAGGGACAGTTGTTCGGGAGAGCGACGAGGAGGCTCATCAACGAACTTGGGCAGCATGCGCTCCGCCCCCCGAAGAACAACAAGCTCTCAGAATCAACGAAGCGAGCTTTAGAGATGGTGGCGGATCAAGTGCTCACTTCTGCCCCACGAATAGCTGACTCAGACACAGGCGAGGTGTACTACATCTTCACCGACGCAAGCTTCGAGAGTGAAACCAAGAGCGGAGGAATTGGAGGTGTGCTGATCAACGGCAACGCTACTGTTGAGCAGTGGTTCGGAGATTTAGTCACCAAAGATTTCTGCAAATCGTTCATGGCCGAGGAGCAGAAGCAAGCAATCGGTGAGTTGGAGTCCTTTGCAGTGTTAGTTGCGCTGCACCTTTGGGGCAAAATTTTGGCTCGCAAACACGTTGTGATCTTCCTCGACAATGAAGGATGCAGGTACCTTATCCTCAAGGGATACGCCTCCAACAAGAACCTCCAAAGCATTGTGCACAACATAGCGAAGCAGGAGGTGGACCATTGCATCCTCCCATGGTTTGCCCGAGTTCCAACAGAATTCAACTTGGCAGATTTTCCTTCTAGGGCGACCCCACATGAAATGTTATCTTAGGCCTTAAGGGCCAGGCTTCCTAGCTTCGAAGACATGTGGTCAGACAAGAGCGGTCTTTGAGAAGGCCCTAAGAAGGGGGGAGGCCAGGAGGGCCTTCAGATAAGACCTTGCTATTCCCCCGTTTGAAAAAGAAGCAGCTGAGTTTCTGTGCGCTGTTTCGAGTGACTGTCATGTTTGTAATGAGTGGTGCGAGAAAGGAATAATATGGGCAGTTGGCGAAGTCAACGAACTATTTTTTTCTTAAGAGCTTCCTTGTTTTGCAGTGATGGAAAACAAGCTTGCATTCATTCAAACATGTCATGTTTCTCACGTTCGTTAGTTTGGTTCCAGGGTAGTGGAGGGTGGGTTTCCGCTTTTCTTTGTCTGGCAAAATTGGCCCGCCCACCATCCATGCAGCAGCCAGACCTGGTGCAATTCCAAGCTGACCTCTACCGCTACAGAATGGCGGTTCAATTGAGATGTGATGGCCTAGGGGCGCTGATCGCTATGGATACCATGATTGAGCACTTCGAAGACATGGGGTTTGCCAATACCGCCCATATTGGCCCTCTGAATCAAGGACTTTCTGACCTTTGCAGATCATCTGATTCGACAAGCGACCGACACCCTGAAGAACTGGGTGCAGTGGCGTTGGTAGCCAACGCGCTACAATGTACCAAGCCTAGCCCTTCCGACCGGCCAGGAGGGCCTTCATATAGGACCTTGCTATTCCCCCGCTTGAAAAAGAAGCAGCTGAGTTTCTGTGCGCAGTTTCGAGTGACTGTCATGTTTGTAATGAATGGTGCGAGAAAGAAATAGCTATGACTTTTTCCATTGGAACTTAAGGTGAATATTTTTTTTGTTGTTTCTTTTCAGCTTCGCTCTTCAAGAGGAACAAGGGACGTGTTCTTTTGAGCGCTATGTGCAAACACCCAACAGGAAAAACACATTTCTCTGCAGCGAGGAATTCTTTCGGCCACAAGTTTAGGCCAACTTGCAACACAGCATGATCCAGCATGTCAACGTCAAATACAATTGTGTTTGTGGCGGCTGATTGCATCAGCTGGACGCGTACAATGTGTATACAGTTTTAGTGTTGGGTCTGGCCGGGCATCGTGAGTCGTGATGGCTGCCGTGCTGGCCCACGAGGCTAGGGGTGGCACCAAATTGCCAGCAAGATTCTATCTATCTCACTGTGCTTCGATTTTGCAGCTTTAGGAGTCAACCCTTCTCAAAAAAAAAAAATGCGAGTTCCTTGACGATTTTCACGTTGTACAGGACGTACGGCGGAACAGTGTGAGGCCAGCAACTTGTGATGGATCTTCAGAGCCACAAAAGACAGTTTTTAAACCTTTGCAGGATTTTTGCTCAATATTTTGTGTCAGAGCGTGAAAGGGTCGAATCTGCTAGATTAGTGCGTAGAGAGCATAGGATTGGGAAACCGGGTCCTCCACGTAACTGTCCGGCAGGTTTCCCCCAAAAATGCATGGTTGTCAGGCTTCAGCGTGGCTCTCCTGTGCTGACACCCAAGTGCCCAAATTGAAAAATATCAATCAATCCAAATCGGTGCAAGTGGATCATTGAAAAGTCGCAAGCCCAATCGATCAAGGACTTCCTCAGTTACGTTTGTGAGAGGTACTCTGGACCAGGATCTGCTTTGGCAGAATGCCCAGAACTGGTCTCTGTGGATCATGGGTCAGACGGACCCCCCGAGCCCCATGGTGCTTGAGGTTGGTGGGACGTTGATCCGATCCAGAACAGAGCCACAACCTGACACCAGGTGGGAGGTTCATGGATTGAACTCCACCACAACTTTGATGGTTGAATGGGAATGAGTCGGAATGAGCGTAAAGCCTAAAGGCCTCAAGAAAGACAAAAAACTAGCGGTTGTGCAAATCACAAGTTGCTTGACAAGAAATCCACTCTTCATGTGTCAAACAGTGTTGACAAAGGAGCATGGAAGGAACACATTGAAATGGTTGAACAGTGGCAGGCGTCCCGGGCAATCACCGAATTTAGCTCCAGCTGCTGGAGACTGGGGCTCAGCCACAAGTCAAGCAGAACTTTGAACTGGGAGGAATTAAAAAGGGCTTCAGAAGCTGGCAGTTCTAGGTAACGGACTAGCAACTCTCAAATTGCTTTTCTGGAAAGCACACGCTCTTACCATCCCACATAGCATCCATCAAGCCGCATCTCATCTTCAGGTGCATCACTACGTACAAGGCTCTGGTTGCTTGCACCTCAGTCTAGGTTGCAGGCGATCGAATGAATTGCCGTGAGCTGATTGGTTATGCCGTGCACATGTGTGCACCTTCCATTTGATCTCTTCTTCCTTGGCTGAAACTGAAGAGAATGTCCTTTCAGCACAAGATGAACCTTGGAGAGCTTCATAGATCTTTGTACTGCTTGCAGTCGTTTGCAGTCAGAGGTGGTATGATCTGGTTTTGATGAAGGTCTGACTGTTGGAGCTCGCTGACAGATTTTTAGCGACTTTTGTTTCTCAGGGAAATGCAATTCATGCCGATCAGGTCTGAGTGCTTTGTGAAGGGCTCAGCCCGCAGCAAGAAAAACACAGGTTCCGAAGCACAGGTTCTTCTTGGTCGACCAGTAAGACAGTAGGTCCTGGAGTGTGGACTGAGGGCAAAGATTTAGAACATTTTCGGGGCATGAAGATGGTTTTGCTCAGCAAAGCTGAAAGGCTAAGACCATTCACTGTCGATCTATGTATACCTCTAAATGCATTCAAGCCTGCATTGCTTGGAAACAGGAAGGACCTGTGGGTGATACACCTTACGGTGCGCGAAACATGCTTGGCTTTCCATGTGTTAAAGAGCAGCAGCACCGGAAGTCAGTGAAGGAAGGGCAACGAGAGAGCTGTTGGCTTGGAGAGGCAGACCTAGAGCCAAAAGCAAATGACGCAATGTAGTTTCAATGAAGAAGGGACACAACAATAACGCAGCGCAAGAGATAGTCATCCCAACATGATGTGTACAATCCAACCCATCATTCTTGCAAACACAGCCATGAATCTTGGTTCCATGGAGCTGGCCAATCAGAACCTTCTCGCCCCAGACATGGCACAAGCCATTCAGCTCCTCTCTCGTGGTGCTCCAAGAGATGGAAGGTCAGCTCAGGTCGCGGAATGCTTGGTTCGACTCAAGGAGATCGATGGCATGACTCAAGTGGAGCAATGTCGGCTCTCGGAGACAGGCATGACTGAGAGGCAACGGATTGTGGAGGAGCAGCGTTCCAAACGCTATGAACGCCTTGCAGAGGTTATAGAGGCTTCAGTGAAAGAGGGGGCTGCGACCAACCGTGAAGCAATCTCTGCGAGAGCGGAGGTTTCAAAGCAAGCCATCAAAGGAAATGTTCAGATTGAGGAGTACCGTGCCAAAGTGTCGACCTACAATACCTGGCATTGGACACTTCTTTCAGTCTTTTGCACGGCTGCCATCAGTTCACGACGGCGAAGATCAGGCTGGATGCGAAGGTTGAATTTGTTGCCTTGGCTTCTTTTGGCCTATTTGGCCTGGCAGAAGCTGAGAAAGATACAGAGCTCCAACTTGTGGCAACTGAGTTCCAACTTGCTGAAGCTTCGATGGTTCTCTCTTGAACAATTTCAAGGTGACCCGAGTACGAAGTCGGAAGCCGACTCCAATGCAGAGAGTCAGACTCAGAGCACCTCCACCCAGAGCACTTCCCAAAGAGTCGCGACGCTTCCTGCGATGCCTCACTCCGACGAAGCCGACGCGGCGTCTCCGACAGCAGCGAAAGTGGCAGCTTCGGCAGCGTATGCAGCGTTGTGCAGAGACTTGCAGCAGTTTCTCGAACCAGCTGGACTTGATTCCTACGCAGAAAGTCTTGCTGCACATGGCTACGATGTGGAGGTCCTGAGAGAGCTTGAGCGTTCTGAGCAGGACGAAATGCTTGAGACGGTCAAGTGCTTGCCTGGCCATAAAGTGAAGTTTCGGAAACTGCTCGTGAGAAGCCAAAGCTGAGCTGTTAGGTGTTGATGCTAAAAAGGAGCACGAAAAAGATGAACAAGGGATGAAACAGTAAAGAATCCCAGGCATGTGAGGCGTGCAGAGCTTTTGCGCACCAATGCTCAGGGAATCTGCCATGCAGCTGGGACCAAGGCCCGGTCAGCTACGGGGGTGGGGTTGGGGGCTGCAACTTCTTTGCCACTCGAACGGGTGTGCACGCAGAGACCCCTAAACACACACACACACACCACGTGAGAAGGACAGTAAGTTCTCCGAACTAGGAGGGACCGGTGTTTGATGGGACTTTTGGGATGAGCTCTCACTGATTCAATCACAGGGACGAGGAGCTGGACAAGTCGGGGCACCCAGAAAGATGGATCCTGTGAAAACAATGATGGAATGTACCGTAGCTTAGCAGTTCCTCAGCTTCTAAATTTTATCTGTTAACTAACATTATATATATATATATTCTTACGCGTGTGCTAGCTTCAATAGGCAGAGGCACCTTCAGATAATCCTTACATTTCATGTAGAGAGTTTCGGCTTCTTTTTCCAGTGTGGCCCAGGGATGAAGCAGCAGGCACGCAAAACTTGCACTTCTCCCCAACGCCTCAAGGGCCTCAAGGGTGCCTCTTGGGATTGAAAGACACAGTGATGCGCAATGAGCACCATGCTGGGCTTGTTGACGTGAAGACAAGTGTTGCTCTGCCATGGCCAGACAGTCTGACTCTTGGGCAGGGACAGCGACTGCAGCACCTTCAGCTGCACTTGTGGCAGCAGCGAATGACTCAGCCAAGGATGTGAACTTCATAGTCTAAGTCTTGGCTCAACCTGTCCCCAAAAACAGTCCAGGAGAATGAGCTGATCTAGACATGCAATCCACCGACTGTTGCACGGTAAGTTTAATCCTCTTTGCTACATGAGCACAACTGCCCGGAGGTCTTCCGGAAGTAGCACGAGTTGAAGTACACTTGTACCCCTTGGACTGATGCTATTACAGTGTGATTTTTGCAGTGTCGCATTTCGACGGCTCCAGTGCGCGAAGTGTACCCTGTGGCTCACCGCGCATCCGGGTCGTCCCTTCCAGGTGCAAAGAGCTGCCAAAGCTGCAAAGCCCGAGGCGCGGAGCGGTTCTAGCCGGGAGCGGACTCAGCGGACAGAGCTCAAGTTTCGGTTTTTAAGGAAGGCACGTGTCTTGGAGCAGCTTTTCAGATCTTTTCAGCGTCTTGATGAGCTGGTAACATTTTATAGAACTGGTGAGGTGACTCTTTTTTGACATTGATGGCAACAAATGATTTTGCGACACAAAAAAGGGTTCCAACTGCTACATCACGTCGCGTCGCTTTACTTGCTGCTCGCCCCGCTTCTCGGGAAAACTGCCAAGGCTTTGGGCTTCTCGCCGGCCTTGGCACATCACCGGCAAGGGGCCTGAGGTTCTGGGGCGACGGGTGCCACAAACTCAATCAGGTTTTGCACCTGGCAACTTCACAGATTCTTGTTTGTTGAGGCTCGCGATTTATGCTGACAAGTAGTAATTATGTCAGAATCTAGCAAGGATCCAAACACCCAGACATATCACAGCATAAATCAAGAAGTGCACCGCAAACCTACAGGCCCGAGTTTGGTTGAAAAGACCATTTTCGCTTCGCATGGTAGCGGAGCGCTGGTCGTAAGCACCGGCCTCCGCTACCCACGTAGGCACCACGACCCTTCGACGCCGTAGAGCATCGGCCAGGGGATCCAGCTCGACAGGTTTCTCGCTAACCGAGGTTTTGCTGATCGCGTGCATTGCAGGAGCGGCTGGAGACAGGTGGAAGACAGGAGGTGAACTACTACTTGCCCCACGTTCCTTCAGGGAGCCAAGAGAAGCTTGAGGAAGTACCACGGTCGTGGTGGACTCGGTGGACTCATACCACTACGTGGGTAGACTCATCTGGGCCAGAAGTGAGGTCAGTGTGAAAGCCTCACTGACACTCCACGAGAGAGGAGAAGGCAGGAACAAGAAGAGACAGAGGAAAAGGCTGGCTGTCATTGTCCCAGCCAAGTGGAAATTCATCAAGAAGATCGAAAGGTTTCAAGACGAGACACAAAAGGAAGAGGCTTGTGAACTTTTACCCAACTGGGAGTCCCAGGACCTCATCAGCTTGATTGGACACGAATCTTTTGCTGAACCACCGATCACGACAAAGGCTCAGCTCGAGAGGTTGGACTGTGATGCAAGGAACAACGAAGTGGACAGGACGCTCAACATACCAGCAATGGTGGAGGTGGAACCAGGTGAAGTTGAACAGCAGAACGGATACGGGATCTCCACGAAGTTCGTTTTCACCTGGACGCACAGGTTGGAACAGGGTGGGCAAGGTTGGTTGCTCGTCAGTTCAAGAGCAGCATCGGCATTGAGCAGACCTTTGGGCCGGCTTTGTCACCGTGACTCTCGACATCAAGGATGCATTCGACATCAAGAAAGCCTACGTGGACGTAGACAACGTCATCTACAAGTTGGTGAAATGCCTCCCGGGCCAAAGAACAGCAGCATCTCAGTGGTTCCAACTGTTCGCAAAGACAGCAAAAGAGTTTGGGCTTGAGCAGGATGTGATGCAACCCACATTGCTGATGAAGACCAAGGAGATCTACATCACCATGCACGTGGACGACGTTTTCATGGTTGGGAAAGAGCGCAGCTTGAAGGCCTTTGTGGATCGCCTCAAGGAAATGATAAAATGGAGTGTTGAGGAGAAAGGCCCTTTTCGCGCTGGTCACTACTTGATGCGAGAGTTCGTCCTGTACAGTGACTGGCGTGACGTCAGGTGTGATAACAAGCAGTGCGAGATTTCGACAAAGGACATGGATGTCTTCAAGAAGGCATATCCAAAGATGCCAACAAGCCAGGAGCTCAGCAAGAGGGATGCGAGTGAAGAGCTGCAAGGTGACGATATCACCAGATACAGGAGTGCAGTGGGGCGGCTCATGTGGAGAAAGGCCAGACGCCCAGTTCAGCGTCCAAAGCCTTGCAAGGTTCATGGCCAAGCCAACAAAGCAAGCGCGGAAAGAATGCTTGGCATGTGTGCTCCTAGTTGTAGGGCACAGAAGGCTTTGGAGTGAGACTTTCAATCAGAGTGAAGGGCCAAAGCAGATGAGGCAGAGGAGAAGGAAGGAGGAACGTTTGCTTGAAGTGGTGTGCGACAGTGACTATGCTGGGAACAGGGATGATTGCAAAAGCACATCATCCTTCCAAATCATGTTGGATGGCAACTTGATGGAATCGCGCGTGCGGTCCCAGATGTCGATTTCATCATCATCAGGTGAGGCTGAGTTCGCCTCGATGGTTGCAGGATGCTCGGATGGATTACTTGTTTGGCGCATCTGGATGAAGCTGGTTGGAGAAGAACGTGAGATGAAGCCAGGTCTAACAGCTCAGCAGCCAGGTCCATGGCCCAGAGGCAGGGAATCGGAAGGGTCAGGCATTTGGACGCTGCCTTCCTTTGGATTGGATCCAGCAGAAAGAGACTTTTCTTTCACTGACATCGGCGCTGTTTGGCCTACCCTACGACTCTACATGTTCGGTGAACAGTGCCAATGACAGAGCGGGAGAAGAAGAATATGGAGAACTCGATCGCAGAGAGAGGACAAGGAAAGGAGCAAACAAACAAAGTGCTAAGGAGCAAGAGCCTACATGTTGGTCTGATTTGGCTGCTGTCCAATTTGGACAGTGTGGCAGGAGCAGACGTGGATGAGACCAGGAACGAAGAGGGCGATGGCTGGCAGTGGATTTGGCTGCTATGCGGCTTGATCAGGACCTTGCGCTTGGTAGAGTGGTTGCGGCGCCGTTTGCTCATGCGTGGCATGGGGCTACATGAAGCCCACCTCTGCCACAGTGATCCAGAAGATCAAGGACTACATGATCACTGGAGATGGCAAGAGTGACAAATTAACTCAGGCCTGCAATTGGGTGGACTCCCATGCATTGCAGCAGTTCGAAGAAGAAAGGATTGAAATGCAGGACGAGATCTTTCAATTGGATCTCTACATCGAAGAGGCAATTTGAGAAGTGAGGCAGCAGCGGGACATAAATTTTCAAGAGTTCCAGCTGGCCTCAAAGGCATGGTCAAAGACTCATGGAAAGGAGTCTGAAGACGTGGTAAGAAGATCCACTTTGCTGAGAACTGCCCGCATTTTGCCGGAGCAGAGCCGATTGAGTTGTGCTGTAGATGTTCGGGTGTAGGGGGCGTGTCAGAATCTAGCAAGGATCCAAACACCCAGACATAACACAGCACAAATCAAAAAGTGCACCGCAAACCTACAGGCCCGAGTTTGGTTGAAAACAAGATGGAGCCCACCAACCCGAATGCAAACACGTTCAAAAAGCTATATATGCCCAAATGACACGCTTGTAGGACACTCTTGTGGGACACTCTTGTGGGTCACTCTTGTAGGAAACTCTTGTGGGACACTCTTACGGGACACTCTTGTGGGACACTCTTGTGGGACACTCTTGTGGGACACTGTTGCGGGACACTCTTGTGGGACACTCCTGTGGGACACTCATTTGGGACACTCTTGCGGGACACTGTTGTGGGACACTCTTGTAGGACACTCTTGTGGGACACTCTTGTGGGACACTCTTATAGGACACTCTTGTAGGAAACCCTTGTGGGAGACTCTTGTAGGACACTGTTGCGACACTCTTGTGGGACACTCTTAAGGGACACTCTTGTGAGACACTCTTGCGGGACACTGTTGCGGGACACTCTTGTGGGACACTCCTGTCGGACACTCATTTGGGACACTCTTGTGGGACACTCTTGTGGCACTCTTGCAGGACACTCTTGTGGGACACTCTTGTGGGACACTCTTGTGGGACACTCTTGTGGGACACTCTTGTAGGAAACTCTTG